GGAGGTAGTGTAGTTACCGCGTAGCCTCCACCATGCATCGGGAACAGCCGCTCCTTGGAAGACGGTGTAGGTGGCGCTTCGATCCGCAGCTCCGTTAGGGTGCCTCAATCGGCCGGCAGACAGAGGCACCCTAACATGCTTCATACATAATATAAATACCTCAAAAACAATTATTTGTTTCCAGTGAACTTCCAACGACATGATTTGTGTTTGAAGGTGAATACAAATGTGAAACTAGCAGACGACAGTATAGTCGACAGCTGCGAATCGGCCGGCAGACAGAGGCACCCTAACATGCTTCATACATAATATAAATACCTCAAAAACAATTATTTGTTTCCAGTGAACTTCCAACGACATGATTTGTGTTTGAAGGTGAATACAAATGTGAAACTAGCAGTCGACAGTATAGTCGACAGCTGCGAATCGGCCGGAGCTGGCCGGAGCCAAGCTGACCAAGCGGCCAAGCCCGAGCCATAGCCGGAACGACGGTGCTGCAAGCGCCAGCGCCACCCGCGGCCGTCTTCCAACGCTGTGCCGCTTCTCCGGTTTCGTTGTTTACACCCAGTGTTTACACCACCCGCTTTAACCTACTGTAGTGCAGCCGACCAGCGAAAGAAAGCAGACGACACGCGGACGAAATCCGTTGGCAGCAAAAGCGCCGTCATTGTGCAGACACGCTTTTTTTTGTTTACTTTAAGTTTTGTTTTTATTGTCCGCATTGGTTTTTTAACCAAAGGTACATTTCAAAAAGATTATTTTCATTTTAATAGACCACAGTGGTCGCGAACCGTCGCGATTAGAGTGACTGTATAGGCTACAGTTAGTCTAGTCGCGATGTGGAGGTAGCGCCATCTGTCAATACGAACGCCGAACACACCCCGCTACGGAACTTGGTCGTCTGCATCGCCGCCCGCCGTAGACCCTGGCAAGTTTCTTGGCCCTATTTTTTACAGAAAGAGAGCTACGCTTTGTAATTTTAAAAGAAGAAACCGACCTGTGAAATACACTTTTGACGAAAAGTTTAGACTGCTACGTGCAGGCGTCGATTTTTATGGTCCATTTTAGATTGAGCCTGGTGGCGTGGGTCACCCTATACATCGATGATATCGTTAACATAGCAGAAAACGTAAAGTTTATCAATCGCTTACGCTGATGACACCAGTCTCTTTTTTTCAGCTAAAAATTGCAATGAAATTTCTTGTGTCAGTAATAAAACCATAAAAAGTCTAGAAACCTGGGCTAGTACGAATAATCTTACCATAAATAAGGAAAAAAAAACTAAGGCGACCTTTTTCAGCTCCAGAAATAGGAATATTATCCTGAAAAGTGACATTTTCTTAGACTCCTCACCAATTGCAATAGTAGGCATATTTAAAACTTCGGGGGTAATTTTCTCAAAGCACATGTCTTGGACCGAACATATGCGGACTACACAATTTCCAAACTTGCCAGTATAACTGGTATGTTACATAGAGATCGTCATGTTCTTCCTAGAGGAGTTAAGCTGATTTTATATAACTCATTATTTTTATCTCACCCCACAAAAACTTATCTGCAAAAACTATTTTTACTGCAGAAAGAGTGTTAAGGGGTCATAGGCAACTAGCCATATAATTTTCATACTAACCAAATTTTTGTTAAACTGGGTGTTCTGAATGTATTTCAATACTATGATTTTAGACTGTGTGTGAAATATAAACAGGATTATCGAGATATAAACAACTTTTTGATACGCTTCGCATCCCTCCGAAACAAACCTATAACATATTCCACTCGCCATTCTGATTTCTGGGTAGTAGATGCATCTCGTACTGGCTATGGCTTACAGATGATTAAAAAAAACACTGCCTAGGTTTCTGAACAAAATGATCCAGTTTAATTGGGATATAGAATCCTGTAGAACGTTTGATATCAGGAGATATTTTCTGTCAAATTAATTATGTGACCAGACTGATTCCCTAGTAGATGTTTTTCTTTTTTTAACTATTTGCTTTTATTGTTTTTTTTTTATTTATATAATTTTTGTGTATGTTTTTGCAACCACTGGGTACCTGTGAGGGGGCTGAGGACCAGTCAAGCTGCTGGGACAGCTTTTTTCCTCAGATCCCACCCTATTTATATGGTTAATAAAGCTATTAATATATTATTAATAATGTTCTTTACTAAAGATTAAACCAATAAGTATTGTGTCACTTGCGCTTGTGTGTGGTCGTTCCGTTCCGTCTCTCTAGACACCACACCAACATGGAGAGGTTCTGATACGAAAGGGAAGAGGAGATGGGGACTTCAACTTTGCAAGCACAGGTCCAAGGCCAGCTCTATCGGTACTATGGGGGCAGGGGAAGGAGGGGGTGAGCAATATTGTTGCATCTGAAACGCCGCAAATATTTCATATATGTCATGACCATATAATATGTCATGGCCATGCCGTGAAAATGTCTTATGATTGATAGCATTTTGAAAGGAACTTTGCAAAGTGTGGCGTTCAACCCTAGTTTTGCATATATTGAAGATTTTTTTAGAGATTTGCAGATGCCAAGATTACGTACTTTGTATACTGAAACTGTAGTGTTACGTCACTCTTGTATTTAAAATTTTAAAACGCATCATCAACCATTGCGACTCCTGAAAGCTACTCCTCGGTATGAAGTACAAAGATGTGTCACTATGTATGGAAAAAGGATGCGGTTGTTTTACGTCTCAGATATTTTTAATACCCCTTCCTGAAGACATTTTCATCATTACTGGCAAAGGACGGTTGAAAAAGGGGCTTCGTTATTGTGGTTGTGAAAGCTCATTATTGTGCTGTTGTTGTTTTGATTTGAATTGGGAGGTTAGCTGGTTCGTCGAAGCTTATAATCGCGTGTTTGCTTCTATGTGTGTTCTTTTCTTTTTTTTCTCTTTTTTTTTTTCTCGTTTATGCGTACCTGTTTTTGATTTGATTTGGGAAAATGGTTAGTCGAAGCCTTGTTTACGTGTTTGTTTATTTATATGTACTCCTTTTTTTTTCGCCTGCGCGAACTTGCTGGGTCCAGTCCTACAAGCCATTGCGGGTAAGACGGACCCGTCATTTGACATACCTAAAGCGTTATGTGAATAAACAGATTATTATTATTATTATTATTATTTTTTTTTTTTTTTTAGTTATTATTTAGTCTCAGACAGGTAAACTATGTTCCCCTTCTGCACTCGTGTGTATATGTGTTCGTATGTGTGTGTTTTGCTTGTTTTTTTAAGTGTGCCAGCACTAAGGCCGATAGGTTGTTCCTGGACACTATAATAAACGTTGATTGATTGATTGATTGATTGATTGATTGATTGATTGATTGATTGATTGATTGATTGATTGATTTATGATGATGTTGTTGTTGTTGTTGTCGTTGTCGTTGGTGTTGGTGTTGTCGTTGTCGTTGTCGTCGTCGTCGTCGTCGTCGTCGTCGTCGTCGTCGTCGTCGTCGTCGTCGTCGTCGTTGTCGTCGTCGTCGTCGTCGTCGTCGTTGTCGTTGTCGTCGTTGTCGTCGTTGTCGTTGTTGTTGTTGTTGTTGTTGTTGTTTATTTAACCCTTCGGCGTCTCGTCAGCGTTGAACGTGTAAGTGCTGGGAAGGCATGGCAGGGCGTCTGAAAGAGGCGCCATGCCGTAAATATGTCCCATTTCATGTCATCCGTGCCAAGGCGGAAGATAGTGGAATGGTACGTACCGTAGTATGGAATCGACTAATTAAAGAGGAAATCATATTTACCAAACGGTAGTAATTACGCGTTTCAATAAATCGTTTTAGGTTCCTTCCTGACACAAAAACGTTTTCTTTTTTCTTTTTTTTTTTGACGTATAAGGGGTCCCTGTGTGGCCCCTTTCACGAATTGTTTCTGTTATGCGAAGTGCAAGTTGTCCGTTTCATGCACAGAAGTTGCAGTGACGTCAAAACTCCGAGCTCTGATCGGCTCGGATTGGAAGGATGGTGGGCAGTCCTCGATGCTAACTGCCATGAGGTCCACCCCCTATCCTTCCAATCGGGGCCGATAAGAGCCCATAGTCGAGTCAGTGAGATTGCTGCTATCGGAAAGGACGAAACAAAGCGCTTCAAGTGCCCCATAAACCATTTAAGGTGACATTTAAATAGCGATGGTAGAGTATAGTTAGACTCAAAATCTAAGAAAGCATTAAAATAATGCTCCAGAAGAATGAAAACTAAGTATAATAAGCTTCATATGTAAAAAATGAATATAATGTTCATGTGGGAAATAGCATTCCTAAAACATTTACATATATTTGCTTACATAAATGCAAATCAGGTTACAGAAATGAATGAAGATCAAGCGTGTACCTTGTGAACGTTACTAAATAGTTTACAGACCAAGCAATTTAAGATCTTATATTTTCCCTGAGTGTACCAGAATCGCAAAAAAAAAAAGAAAAAAGGAAGTAACAGGCCCCTGTGGCTAGCAGTTTTGAAAATCAAGTCACTTTATGATAAATTCAACGAACCGCGTGGCACATATTGAGGGTCAAACAAAATTGAAGACGGAATATTGAATATCTCTAGAGATGTACATAAAGCCAGCAAACTTCTCATGACACGGGAAGGAGGTATCACTAGGTCTTCCATTTGTCGATTTTTGAGACCGCGGTCGATTTCTACAGGAAAAAAATGAAGCAAAGACTGAGGTACAAAGAAAAAAACAAAGCGCATGACGTTCACAAACACCGCTACCTGTATATTGCCTCGCTTTCACGTTAAAGAGAAAAAATAAGCCGGTGGCCTCAGTGTTTAACATTTCTTTACTCAGGTTGCCACTTCACGCGCACAATAATACAGATCTTTGTTACCGTTGGGTGTGAACTGACAAAAATAAACCAATGGTTATTGCTCCCAATGCATCATGATGCAATCTACCCTGTGGGGATTTCCGGATCTTTGGAGTGCGATTGCATATGGTCTTGACTAATTCGTCATTCTAATGTAATCGTTCTCCGCGGCCTATTTAGACACACGGGCCTATAGGGGAATGTCAACGTTTTTCCACAAGTTTGCCGTGCCGCTACCAGCAGTCTTAGATGCAAATTTCTTCTTGAGACGTTCCGCCTGGTCAGCGGAGAAGTGGTTCCTCCAGTCTCCAACCGCTCCTTTCCTCACAAAGCCACTGGCTTCTGGCTGTTTCCCAAGCAGGTCCTCGCCGATTTGTACAGTTGTCTCACCCATATATTTTTTTTCGTCCCTCTGAAACGCCTTGAACAGTCCATTCATGCGTTCTTGCATCGTTTTCACACTCGTCGCGAGCAGTACCCTGTCAAGGCGTCCTTTATCCTCCCGCAGGTTTCTACCGTGCTCTTCGCCCAGAAAATCGGCTATCATCAGCACTCCCGCGGCAACGTCCTTCCGAAGATTTTCGTAAGTCACAAAGAGCACGTTTTTGCTATTTCGGTGCTCGTAGCCGGACTGCAGGTGATCAAAGTAGTCACCAAAATCTAACTTTCCGGTCATGAACATTTCGAAAAACTCGTCGAAAGTTCCGTCTTGAAACTTGTACCTCGGAAAGCTCTTGCAGTGGTAGAAAAAGGACACGCAGCAGTCGAACGGGTTCCTGCAGATGTAGATGTACCTCGCGTCCTTTGAGACCGGTTTGATGTAGAAAGGCAGGTGGGATCTGATGACTCCGGGCCTGGGCATTTCTCTTACAGACTCTGCGCCCTGGAACTCCAGCAAGGGCAGCTCCCTAGACCAGTCCGCAAAGTTGGTCGGAGGCGGGCGATCGTTGAGGATGTTGTAGAGGATGTTCATCAGCCACGTTGATCCGCATTTTGGGTAGCTGACGAGGAAGACGTCTTCAGCTGTCGGCTCGTAGGCCAGGGCCGAACGAACATGGTGTGCGTCGCCTAGAGGTCTGCAAAGGAGGACACCTTCAATGTCCCTGTAAACCTCTTCTGCCATGGCGTGTCCTGCGCAGACAACATATAGGTTGCGACATTAGTTAGTGGCAGCCAAATGAAAGCATGGCGTGGCGAATCCTGTACATTTTATTTTCGCTGCACATGACCAACTAAGTTGCGGCATCAGTTGATATCCTAAAAGAAGGGACCCCGAAGCAAGGAGCGTGATCATAATGGGCGCACCCTGCGTGTCTTAAGCAGTCGCTGGCTATACAATCTTAGACGCTCCCACCTGTCTTCTGCCTCGCGAAACGGAATCCTGGATCGGTGCTTTTCTTGAATCAGTCTAGCCAATCAATGGTCGTACACTGCAGTGTCTGTGGTAGCAAAGGGGTTCAAACATTTGTCACCGAGAGTGCACGTCATTGGAGCCTGACACCAATCTTCTTTTTCACTGGCGAAATTGACATAAAAAGTGATTGGTGTTGCGAATGCATCGCGATGCAATTAGCAATGTAGCCACCGACAGTTTAAGGAACTCCAAGAGTGGCACTTATTACCTTCACCAAACTTGTCAAAATAAAAGTATATGCTATTTGAACAAGTTCAGTGAACCTGGTCCTGTGTTACTCATGTCGCTGTTGTTTTCTTTTTATTTATTTCTTGTTTTGTTTTGTTTGTTTGTTTTTGTTTTTTTATTACACGGTGCGTTAGAAAGTGTCTTGCTTTTGCTTTGTGTTCATACAGCAACTTGGGCTAGTTGGTTTTCCATCTTACGATTTCACAGCGTTTATGCGCTGTGAAGTTGTTTGTGTTCATGTGTACCGTTACCGCAATTGTTTGCTTTCATTTCGTATTCCAGCGTACATTTACTGCACTGTTTTTGTTTGTTTGTTTGTTTTTTGTTTTTTTGTTTGCTTATTACTAGACGCGTTGGATCTCGTCTTTTATCAATGTGTGCCCTTAAGCCAGGATCACACTGCTTATACATCATACAAAAGACAGTCTGCATACAGATTCGAACGCGAGTCACCGCGAGATCCGTGCTTCGAATGCCGCAAGGCAATGAGTTCAAGGAGGAAACTTGGCACGCGGCATTCGAACCACGGATATTGCGGTGACTTCTGTTTGCAGATTGTCTTTTGTATTATGGGGGGTATGAGCAGTGTGACCTCGGCTTTACACCCCCGGGACAGCCCGAAAACAGGATAACAGGATCAATAAATACAAGAATGCCTCGACGAGTGTTTGGGCTTGAATCAAATGGTCGCGGTAACGGGAGCAGCGCCCCCCCCCCCCCCCCTTCCCCCTCGATGCTTGAAGCTCAGCACGCACCCTGTGGCTTGTCAACACGGGCTCGTGGTCAGGGTGAGCATTGGCGGCATTATAATCGGCACCATTTTAAGGTCGAGGGTTAATTTTTGTAGAGTATTCAGTGAAAGGTCAAAAACCGCTGCCACGCCCCTATAAAAAACAAAATTTTCAAAGTGCCTTAATCATCCCTTGGAGCCAGTCACAATCTCTGATATCGGACCAATTTTAGTCAATGACAACTGAAGAAAACGTGGACAGACCCGAACATCTTATTATAGCTTCGCGCCCTATGATATTCTAGTATTGCCATGTAAAAACTCCAAAGAACGAATCGCGAAGCAAGAAGCGTAAACATGCCGCACAGGAACAGTCAGGAACCACAAAGAATACAGGCACAAAAGATGTCACGAACTACAATAACCACAGGAACAAGCTGTCAGTAAGTACAGTAATAAGCGGACCTTCCGATGGCTTTCCAGCTCTGCACAAGCGGACCTGGACCTTCCGCTAAAAAAACGCAAGCTTTTTTTTTTTTTTTTTTTTTTTTGTCAATTGCATGTTGGCGTAACATCACGTTTGCACTGATCCGCGGCAAAACACAACCACCGAAAAACCGAAACGCAGCTTACCTTTTGGGGTCGAAGAAAAATATGTCCAAGAGGGCTTCGTCGTTAGCAGTGCTGGCTTGTCTCTGTGTTGACTCGCAAAGGGAGCTCTTTCCACGAGGCATAATTCACAGCTGTGGGGCGCTGTTCAGCTGCATCCGGTGAGGGATTTATGAGATATCTAACTACAATGAACAGACACTCGAAAACAAACTAAAATTTTTGTAGGTTTTTTTGTTTTTTTAGCGTAATGCTATTTTTATTCTACAAACGCAATTCGCGACCTTTCAAAACGCACGCAAACGTAAGCGCAAGAAGCGGAACGATATCATTCGGACTACAAGCAATTGTTGTCTGAACGAACTTCTTTCGCTTGTTGCACTAAAATTTACGTGTGTTATGAAAAACCGGCGGGTTGCATCCGTAGTATGAACATAGCATGACCTGTACTGAACCATTAATGTAGAGTTTTAACAGAGCTTTACAGCAGGCGGGTATGGTACGGCTCCTGGCACGCGCGCCAGTGTATACGTTTTGAAGCGGCAGCGCGAGCTTCCGGTAACAATGCCGCTCCGTACGGTAGCCTGCGGGAAGGTTATGCTAAAAGTGCTTAGTACTTCACGATAAAACAAGACCAAACCAAAAACAAACAAAATAAAGGGGGAAATAATCTCTGGAGAAGGGGAACAAGTGGGACAAAGTTCAAACACAAATCTCCAAACACAGCTAGGTGACTGCTACTGTACTGACGTCGAAATCCTGGTTAGCTCAGTTGGTAGAGCGCTTTACTGGAAACGTAGAGGTCGCTGGTTCGATACCGTGGCCAGGCGGATTTGAATCGCGCCGAGGAGCATGACGGCGCTTGAAGCATCTATATAGTGTCGGCGGCCTCAACCTGCGCAGTAGCAAACCGGATGGATGGATCCATCCGGTTTGAAATGTCTGCAACAAAGGAGTTTATCTGTAGAGTGTGGTTGGGAAAAAGTTCCGTGGGTACTTAAAGGCTGTTTGAGAAATAAACCAGTTAGCTGAGTTTGAGACGTCCTCTGTGTCTGTTCCTTCTACTGAAAGCTCTTCCGATTTCTTCCACCGCAGTCTCAGGTGTAATACGACATGATTAGCTACCACCAGCTCGCCTGCACTCTCACCGTCTTTTCACTAAAAGAAAAATTAATCAGCAGGAAAACGGCACAATGAGCATTTGATCTATCGTTAGCGCACACCGCGGGAAAGCGGTTCATTCTCCCCTTTTTCTGAGTGGCAAATATGAGCCACGAAGACTGGCTTTTTTTTGCCTCACCGTGACGCCCAGTTACTGTGTTTTAGACATAACACTCTCCGCGAGTTGTCTACGAGTAGAGCAAGGATGAAAGCTGAGGAATTCCTGCACGATGGCGGACAGAAAAGAACCGGCGTGGTTGGGAAGCTGGAACCTTAAAAAAAAAGAGTCTGTTTATTAATCTTGAAGTGAAGGGGAAAAAAAACCACTTCATCGTTGCTATTATATGTAGTTCAAGGTTTGCACCATTCGTGGTTTCGGAACATGGCGGCAGCATGTTCCGAAACATGGCGGCGGCATGTAAAGGAAGATGGCGTCGAACGATGCGTTCGATTATAGTTTGTTGATATGCTTGTGAAAAGCATGGTGGATGCTTAAAGTCGCTGCATTTTCAATAAACAACGTCGAAGTTGACAGTCCGATGGTGCTCCTATTTACGTCAATGAAGGAAAAATGATTCCCAATATCAGATTGTCAACCTTGTCGCTGTTGGTGCAACAAGGTGACAACTTTAAAATTCCACCATTCTTTTTATACACAACATCAAATTTTCGTTCGATGCCATATTATTTTCTTGTCGGAACGGTGTTACAGTCCCCAGTCCTCGGCGAAGTGGCGTAGTGCGAAGATTAGCAAGGATTCGTGATCTGAAACGCGTGACTTCGAAACGCGATAACTTCTGCATATTTTTGTTTAGAAAACGTTTCTGCAAATACACCGTAAGTAATTTCCTGTTAAATGCTTAGGCAGTGGAAAGTTAAACTATCCTAAGAGGCACCTAGTTTCTTCGACGTGGGTGGGAAATTTAGCACGCCGGTACGATGCTCATCCAGATCGAAATGGGCGGCGGCGTGGTTTGAGTCTATGATTCCTGGGTTCTGCAGCGCAAGTTTTCCCTCCGCGTCATTCTCCTGAAGTGTTTAGGTTTGAAGGCAAATGTGCTTATGAACATGCGCTTGCCTCCTTCAGCAGTTGGAAGAACAATGGCCGGGTAGAGTGAACAGGCGCGATCTCTTACGGCCTTTCCACGGAGAGTAGTTGTTCCCTGCGACGGGAGCTCGATCGGTCGCTGTAACCCTCACCGCACCTACAGCGCTTAAATTCCTTCTGAGAGACACCCCCTCCTCACCGTGTCGTCCTCTTTGCTCCGGGGTAGTTGGAGAAGGTTCTAGAGTTATTATACCCGCAGGTTATGAGGCCGTCTGCCCGCGGGGACTTATGCGGAACATCTATTTATCTTCGTCTCCTCAAGAAACGAGTTTGTATTGACAAGCATGTAACTATCACAAGCCGAAACTTATTTCAATCGGCTCTCTACAGTTATTTCAAGCAAGTATAATTGCACACATTTTCAATCGCAGTGGTCGGAGAACAGTTTTTCAGGATGGCTCAGGCGGTGTTGGGCATGGTACACGGTCGCACCCCCACGCGGCTAAAGAAGTCTCATTATTGCTCAAGGAAAACCGCTCTCTAGCCTGGTCATAGAAGAACATGGCAGGGCAGCACTAAGCATCTGGCTTGATTTTATATCGCAATACTGATTGTGGGGACTCCCAAAAACGAAAGGGAAGCGCGGGGAAACTTCACGGGTTCTGATCCTGGACCGGCTTGCTAGAACACCGTCTCAACTGACACTATAGTCGGATGCAACCTGAGAACAATCTTTTAGCTCCACCCACAAGCGCATAGCGCCCATCTGATGTGCCTCCGCCGTCGAGAAAGTAGTTCGCTAGCAACGTTGCTTTTTCTTCCTCCAGGAAATGTGTCTTAAACTACTACAATATTTATTTAATTCATTCAGGACATTTAAGTAAGTTAGAATGCGTTTTTGTCAACGAAATAGCTGTTTAGTGAAGAAAGAAA